TAGATCAATGGTACTGAGTGTTTATAAGTTTGTTCAGATGGGTAGGTGAAACCATCGTTGAGTATACCTTCGTTGGTACTATCCAATACTTGTTCAAAGTATCGTACCTGTTAGAGTCATCTTTAATTTGAGTCCATCATGAAACTGTGAGCTGTTGAAGTCACCTAATAGTAATAAATGGCCCGGAAGTTGATTTACTAAGTGGAATCAGTTTCATAGAAGTGATGCCTGACTGCGGGGAGATAAACTTACATACTTTGGTGGGCTTATTTATGTGTTAATCGTGACAGCACAACATTCAAGGGTGGAATTGGAGATGAAGTTTCTCCACTTTATAAGCTGACGGTTGTGCAGATTGCTACTCCCGCACTAAGCTATGCTCCATCTGTTGCTTGTTTTTAAAATACAAATTTGTAGTTTTTAATGGTGGCTTTTGTATATTTTTATTATTAGTTTCTTGAAGGCAGATACATCGGGGGTTTGAGTTATTGCATTGTAGCAAATAAAACTGCTTTTTTGGGGGGATTAAAGCCATTTATATTCCTTGAGAATGGTGTAATGCCATTTTAGGAGCAGAATTTAAAGAGAGTATCAAATTGAATCTTCCTGGCCACTGTCCACTGGGAGTTTGCAATTTCAACTGATTTTGTCAAATACTCTTTAACTTTCTTTTTTAAATTTGTGAAAGCGTTCCTTTTGATGCTTTATCCGTAAGGAGGGGGTAGGTTTTCGTAACATTAGTAGTAGCCGTTTAATATGTGGAGTGAATTCCGAAAGAACGGTTTCCTCAATGTTTATCGCAATTTTTGTTTTTTTCGCCAAATACTCTTAAGTTGTAACCAGTTTAAAAACATATTATTACTTGTTTGTGATAAAGTTTCTTTAAGGTGGGGCAAGTTGGTTTTTCTAGTTTATCTGACTCCTCTGCAGCACAAATTTCGAGTTTGGATTTTTTAATTGCTTTTTGAATTTGACCTTGGTCAATGTGAAGCATTAGATTGATGGTTTTTATAATCCATTGACTCTGGTGAAATCGATTGTATTATTATTACTGAGACTGTTCTTTATGATGGGTTAAGATTTCTTTACTTGCGATTGGGTAAAACGTTTCTGATGGTTCAGATTTTGAAGATAAGACTACTGGATAAGGGGCGTTTAACTTTTTGGAGGTAGGTTGTCAATAGGAGGAGATGCCGTTGAGGAGGGTTTAAGTGCTGGGCAAGGAGGAGGGGGGACAGCTGATTTTTTTCAATTGTGAATATCTTCGCGGTGTCCCTGAGGGGTTATCTTTTTGTTCGTTCATAGGGCAAATGATTTGCAAAATGTCGTGTTTCTTTACATAGAAACATGATAATAGCATCTGAAGATGGATATATCCAGAAAGCCTGTGTCGTCCGTATTTATTTTCATAAGTTTTCTGGTATTTTGTCCATGTCATCCGGATGAATGTAAATTTGTCGCCGGAAGCTCAAAATGTGGCTGAATCCTGGTTCTGACTGCAGCTCTCAGGAAAGTCATTGTAGAGCCTATTCGTATTTTCAGTTTGTTAGCTCATCAATAATACCTGAGTGTGGGATATAGGAACACACATTGGAAAGAATGAGTCTTTTATTCTGCGTAATTAGTGGTCTACATAGTTTAGAATTGTGTTATAATTGGAAATAGTTGAATTTATTGTCAACTAATTGTTTTACAGTTTCCTTGGAATCGGAGATAATACAACAATACACGGTTTTTTGAAAAATCGCTTGAGACGAACCGTATGTTATGAGGGATAATAATTTTACAAAGTTCCGGAGTACGTTTTTACTGATATCCTTCTACGAGTTCCCCAAATCAACAAAATTTCGGGCCGGGGTGGTTTTCCCTTTTTTTTTTGTTAGGGAAATACCTTGTGAGCAGCAGTCGATATCTGTTTTGGCAGAATCCTGTTTTTCATTATTAACTTGCTTGATGTTGGATTTCACTGTTGGGGATGATCATTGGATCAGAAGCCATCTTAGAATGGTCGTTGGGTGTACCAAGTACACCTAACGATGTTATAAGTGCGTTTTAACCCACTCGGATGGATTTTGATTCGTGGATCTTGTTAACACTGAGTCGAAACACACAACACTCGGCACGGTAAACGGCCTAGACTGCGCACTCTGAGCTACTACAGCTTATCGCTACCGCTTATCGCACAACGGGAGGTCTTTACTCGCCAACGGTCGGAGCGACACTGACTTCACCCTTTGTTACTAGCGCTGGAACTGTTATTTCCGTACGTGTTATAACATCAGCGAGCGCTCTGGCATTCGAGTTTCACATAATCTCAAAGAAGGCATTCAGCTGTATCCTCCTTGAAACTCAGTAGTGTAAGTTTCAATGCTGTGGCTAGACGATTGTACTTACTCTGGATAGGCTTCGTTGACGTACTTTCTATCCCGCGCGGGTTGAGCGATACGAGTTTTTCATTTTATTTTAATGAACATAGGATTTGTTATTTATCGATGTAATTAATCTATTTTTAGATAAGGAACAACGCAGAGATGAATAATTTATTGGAAAAACAGGTTTTTGAACGATTACAAGGTATCGTCAGACGACGAAATTTGCGATGAATAGAATTCCGAGGAAAAATTTGTAGTGGCCGAGACTGAACATGACACGCGTTCTGAGCTGGATTATGATCGTGATTATTCAAGCAGCGATTTAGAGCATAGATATGTTTTCATTAGCAAAAACAAGCTCACAAAGTGGAATAAAACACCGCTTGTCAGCAAATTTTAAAAAAATGGAGGTCGTGGTCAAGAATAATTACCAACAAAATTAAGAAATCACTGTCACATTTGCGGAAAAGCAAAAAACCGCATTACTACAATTATTACTAACTGGTACAACAAACATATACTTAAAGGCATGAAATTCTTAAGACTAGCGTGCTAAGTTTATTATTATTATTATTATTATTATTATTATTATTATTATTATTATTATTATTATTATTATTTAAAATTGTAATAAGTACATATTTCAAATAAAACTAAATAAAAACTAGGGGTGCTACAGTAAGATACAGATTCTCCTGTATTAGTTTTCTACATCCTTTCAGCCCAGCTAGCTATAGAAACTTTCCACGAACTGTGTCGCCACCGAAAATAGATTTTTATGAAATTATTTTAAGAACATTAAATATCTGTAAAGCCTTGCAATAAATGGCAATTTTGAAGAAAATGGCTCTTAAGCACCACTGTAAATTCGAAATTTGAAGCTTTTTCACAAAAAATTTTGTTGAAAAACTTCACACAAAGTCATTTCATGCATTTCCACTTAAAAATACAAAAGTGTTCCGAAACTCCTGGAAATGAGCATATTAACGGCGTAAGAGATTAAAGAAAAATACATTTGTGTAATATTAAAAAAAAAAAGGAAAGTATACTCCGAAATGAACTTTACAACATATCAAAGAGTGCAATTAGCAATATTCATTCTAAAAGTTTGAAGAAAAAAATTGGACCTGTTTTCGAGAAAATGGCGTTTGAGTGTTTCTGAAAATGCAGAATTTTCAGGTCATTTTCTCAGAAAACGGTTGAGTTTTCAATAAACTTTATAAAACTTAGAAAGAACGTGTACTCGCCAATATAATAATGTGAACAAATTGCAGCTAATGAAAATATTAACTTGCAAGACAAGTAAAAAAAAATTTGTGTACATTTTGAAGTACATTTTTGTATTTTTGAAAAAACAAAACAAGAGCAAACTAATATTTGTCACCTCCTAGAGGACATTTAGCACTATTCTTAACAAGAGTTTAAAGACAAAATTTTGAGTTGTTTTTGAGAAAATCTTGTTTTTCTAATTTTTTTAAATTGCACAAATTGCAAGAAATATTGTGCGAAAACTACTAAAATTTTCAAAACAATGCCCATGACCTTAATAAAGTAACTAATTATGGAAAACACATTTAATTTGAACGATAAATCTCAATCTTTAGATTTGTACTTGCAGGAAGACATAAAAAATAATTCATATTTCTGAAATTTTCAAAAATCCAGACTTAACAGTAAAATTTGGACCTACGTAACTTTTATAAGTGTATGTTACTCTATTCTTACAAAAAATTGAAAGAACAAATTTGGAGCCTTTTTGAGAAAATTTTGAAAATGCCTGGAGGGCTCATGTAAAGTAGCCCCACATTTTAAAGAACGTTTTTCTAATCCTCAAAAATTCCTCTTGAGCCAAATGGACAGGGGTTTCTTCGATTTGAAAAAAAAATTTACACATGGTTTAGTAGTGTTCACAGACAGATGGACAGAGACAAAAAGACAGGCGTTTTGAAAAGAACCACTTTTTCAGTATCAAGGGACAACAAAACATTAATTTCCATTGAAATCTTGAAATCGATTTTCCACAGCATTACATAACTTTGCCTATACTTTGTATTTTACTCTGTCTATATACGCACACACACACACACACACACACACACACACTTGCCTTGCACAGTTCATTTTTGTGACGAAATAGCTTAAAAAATGAGCGTACAAAGTATGCCAAGTGGGTACTTGTGTGACAAAACATAGCGCGAGTAACTGAGGGTTAATTTAGAAAGTGTATTTTTCCATTTTTTGTTATCAGGGCCCAGCGATGAATTTTTTCTGCTGAAAATTCGCAATTTTTTAGCACAGCATTACATAACTTTACTTATAATACGTATATTACTCTCTTTTATAAGTATTTATATGAGAAAGTAAAAATGTTTATTTAACAAACATCTATGATGCCCTCCTCTTACATTTATCAGTTAAATCCACCCCTGGCAAGTATGTAGCTGCAATTACTTCTGATTTGGAAATATTCCTGCTTCCTTCATTCCATGAACATAGAGGGCAAGATTCATAATTCACGGTAAAGGACCGGAGGTCACAGAATTGCAGTATTGCTTTGCTTTGTTTCACAGAAAGATGATTCCAAAATTCCAGAATCAAGCTTTTTTCTCTGCCTACAACTCAATAACATGGAATTAAGAAAAAAGTTATAATTATTATTTTAGTGAATTTAAATGAGTTTACTCAAATAACATGACATTGGAAAAGAAGAAATTTATTATACGTAATTATTTACACACATCTCATCCTTCATCATCAGAACTCACAACAAACACTTTCTTTTTCTTTAAAGGTACAAAATCCAAATCTTCATCATCACAGAGATTTATAACTCTGTCTGTGCCACGTTTTTCCTTTGAGGAGTTTGGAGTTATAGAATTTAAAACATCAGAACTCAGTGTTGAAGGCCTTTTATGGGCCACATTGTTCATGGACTCTGTAAGAGCATGTTTCTCAACTTTTACTTTCTTTTCACCCTTCATAGAATTTTCTGCTTTAGTAGTTTCCGATTTTGTACATGCATTGTTCTCAACTTTTGCTTTCTTTTCACTATTAATTGTATTGTTTGCTTTTGGGCTTCCTTTATTTATCTCAGTCTTCCTGGCTCCTTGTACACACATTTTCACAGTTGCTTTTTCTGAAAGGGCAGCTGCAGCCCTGGGTCCTGGAAAAAAAATCAAATGTAAATTCAGCACGACGTCAAGTTAATTTAAATCTAAAATACCTTACCAACTATGGGCCACCTCTGTAACCTCTAAACGGTTTGCAATTTTGAAGTGTTGTTTTTGCTTACCAATGTGGAATCGTGGGGCAAGTAATATGATGTAGAGGTATTGTTCGTAATATTTTTCGTTTTTAGAAATTTCATCTTTGATTTTTTAAATTACATATTTTTCTTTTCAGCAATTAACATATCATAAAAAGAGGAATACAATATGTTAGAATTTTGAAAGTGATTTAAGTATACAATTACTTTCTGATTTTAAATTAAACGTAACAACCTCCCGGTGACCAGGATTGCCAGATGTGTTGTGAGCTCTTTTCCCACCATTACTAATGAATGTCCCCAAATAACGTCTCCAGATAACAAAATTCCCCAACTTCGAAACGAAAATTATTCTCCAAATTATAGATCAACGGCTTGAGCTGTCCCTGACCATCGCTTAAATTCAAATCAACAAATGTCGTCATCCTTCGCGCTACTCTAAATCCTGTTTCATCGTCATTCTCGTGTTTTTCTTTCACTGTGCCTATCGTTTATTTTTCTCGGTTTGATACATACAATTGAGAGGGAATAACGTCTATTGTATTCATAATAATTCAGAGAATAAAATTTCTATCTCGACTCTGGATGAAATTAAGTTCACAAAAAAATCCAATCGCTGTCCATTTACGTTCCCCATTCCTTCCCCACAAATAAAAAAAATCTCCATTTTGGGAACAAAATTGCCCAATTTGGCAATCCTGCCTGTAAGTCACGGCGCCGCGAAAGCCACCTTTCCCGAAAGAAATGAAACTAGCGAGCGCTGAGACAGGAAATATTTGCATTTAATTAAGCCTTTCAGTCCCACTGTATACAAAATGGCTACATCACTTTCTTGGCCTGATTATACTGCTTGAATGTATTTTAACCAATGAGCGAGATTTTTATTCATTTTTGTGACATTTGAACGATTTAACAAATATATCAGGGATATACATATATATATATATATATATATATATATATATATATATATATATATATATATATATATATATATCTGTTCTGTGGATTTCTGTAGTAATTTACTCTCTTGTGTGTGTTCACATGTTATTCACGACATTGCAGGATCTATTTTTTTGTTTAATTTCTCGACGATGGAGAATTTCTGAGGTAAATGTATATTCCGTTTTCAAGAACAGGGTTTGTTTACAGTTCAGATTATCACAATACATGGATTTATGTAAAAGTTTGGAAGATATCTGAATGAGAAATGGGTTATTGCCATATGGCTACTACGGGCACATAGAGCATAAATGGAGGGTCATTCATATCTCTCGTAATTGCGTTTAGGAAGTTAAAGAAATCCAATTTGCAGCAAAGATGTTTTTTAATATAATAGAAACATGAATAAATGTAAACTTGGTATTATCTTTGATGTAGCAATGAGTAACACATCAGTAATCTGTTTTCCGGTCAAGATAGAAAAGGTGTTATTACTAGAAAAATTTTGTTGAATTCCGTACAGATGCCGAATAAAAATAATGAAATTCTCCAATGAACAATGACAAAGTATTACTCCCGCAAGTTTTCTTGATACACGAGCTCCCTAGTCCTCATCCAGGCCGCTGAATTAGCACGGCACCGTTGACATACTTAGTTTGACTCGGAACGGCACGTACTCATTTACAATGCTGGCAACAACCACCTCGTACTTTCAAAACAATCGTAGCGTGCCTCATTTACAATGCTGGCAACAACCACCTCGTACTTTCAAAACAATCGTAGCATTTCTGTGCCATGATTTGGCGAAGTTAAGTTCATGCCACAAGTTGGTTACGCCCTTTTCAACCGGTGACGTAGCCACATCCCTCGTCTCTCCGGCACCCCCCGCTATGGAATATCAAGAAAACTTGCGCGTATAGTACATAATCGAAGGATTTTTTAAAAGTGAAAGTACATCATATTTCACATCAAAACGAATATAAATAAATGAAATTGTAGATTATTTGTTTACATTTATTTTCGTCTTAACGAAAGAGAATGTACAATACATAAATGGTATTATGTTTGAAAGAAAGAAATGGTGATAAAGGAAGCAACGCCTTCCAGGTCTACCGGAAGAAGTTCACAATACTCTTGTTACTGTAAACATTAGCAAAAAGTCATGGTAAACTGCAGGGTACATTTTCAAGAACTAAATGATTAAAATGTTGTGTGAGGGTATATATTACAACCCCGAAGAACTGCTTTTTTATTTAATTGGCAAAACAGGCTAGTTTTAGTGTATTTATTTATCGAAGAATGAAATATATGAAGTTCCCGATGTGCCACATTCCATAAAAATTAAACTAATGTGCGGAAAATGTTAAAAGCTGCTGTTTTTTAAGTCCTCCAATGATCCCCAACACCAGCTCTGCTCGACATGGTCGCGACATCGACCTGCGCGACCGAGAAGGACGCGAAATGCATGGAGACAGGCCCTCCGTGCCCACACGTACAAACCCAAGTACAGAGTTAATAACGAGAACCAATTTCTAAAAATGGAACTGCACTCCGAGTGTCCACCGGACTCTCAACATTTCAAATTCATACCGAGAGGAAACATACGATAGCCGCATAATGCTGTACGTAGTGTGGCGTCATATCAGTCGCCTTGTACAAACGTTATAAAATATCAGCCACGTGCATTTCATGCTAATGGACAGCGCTGGTGGGAAGAGACGTCTGGCTGAACAATGGCAAACCTAGGGAGCGGAAGGGAAGGGGCGCGTGAGTGGGTGGCCACTGCGGCAAACATGGGCAATCTTAGACGGCTATCTGCGGAAACGCGTCGGCGGAAACAGCAAATGACGCAGGTTAGGCAGCCGACCCAGAAGGTATATAAACGGACCCCGGACCTTATCCTCCTGATTCTTGGGCGTCGGTGGAAGTGTGTGGGTTGGTGCGCCGGCGCTGCATTTTAAATGGCATACGCTACTGAAGGCAGGGAACTTGAAGCCAGCGACTACGTCGAGACCGGAGGTGCGGCATACTCCGCTTTAGCTTCACGTAGACTACTAGTGCATTACAACGATATAAGATATTAATTATTAGGGCCAGCGGTGTGGTAACAGGAACAATCTCCTTCCTAGTAAACAGGTCAATATTGCTTTTTTAATTATTGTACATAGTATTGAGGTGTTGGAGCATCTTTTCAAAATAAATATTCAATAAATTCGAAACCGTTTTAACGTGTTGTGATTTATTGTTCCTGCAAAGACGCCACAGTAGATTTAAAATTAATGCCGTAGCTGCACTCGTACTAGCAAGACAGACTTAATGTCTCAGTTGTCGTCAATACTTCGTCGGATTGAAGCTACTCGTAATTTGTCACTGGCAACTAGGGTCTCCTGGAACCCAGTGCGAAGTTCTGATAATTCTGGCCCAAATAAGAAAATGAAAATAGTATTCTTCCTAGAATGCTTTTCGATGTGAAATGGGAACTTCGTAACATTTTCGTTTCCTCTGCACTGGTTGTTTTAACGTGATTTCAAAACGTATTTGTTAATCATCCTGCTAAAATCTAAAAGAATGGATCTATGTACGTTAAAAATACGATAAATTTATACTTTTTAAATCCAGTGTTGTGTTTCTTTCGTTTCCCAGGCTCTCTTAAATAAAAATAAAATACAATAATATACTTTGAATCTTACTAATTTTCTGATTTTTTGTAAACAAAAATCCTTGGGGCAATGTGTACTCCAGTGTGCAGTTTCTGTAACTAAAAATAAGTGTGCAGTTGCAGGATTAATAAATTATTTGATAGACTGGATAACACCTTAATTTCTGATTACTATTTTCTGGTTGTTGCACTTGGAAAATTTTGAATTTCCTGCTTTCGCAGATTTTCCATATACAAAAATCTTGTTCCGAGTCATTAAAATTCACCAGAAATAATTTCAAATGATTAAAACGACATATTTGTTAAATTACATCGGATATATGAATAATTTTATATAAGCAATACAAGACTTAATTGAATCCTTTAACGCCCTAACTGCCCTGCGTGTACATACGGACATGCATATCAACATTTTATCCTTTTGTATACAGCTAATATTTATTATGATGAAAGTTTTTAATTATTTAGCTTACAAAACAAAGTCCAAACCATATGCAGCATTCTTGTTAGTACAGTATATCTTACACATTTGGTTGTAATCCGCTTCCCTGAAATGCACATAAAAAATTATTTTGTGCTCTAAAATCATGGAATGTTGATGTGGAAGTAAAATAGATTTTAAAAGATTGCTTCTATTTTAATTGCAAGTTTACATTGCATGAAATACATTTAGAAACTTCAATGTGCCATGCATATTTAAAGAATAATTCTTGGGAGATGATTTTTCTGTATAGAAAAAAAACCATCTGATCAATTTGGTTTTTTATTTCTTTCAAGCTGTCTCTTTGGTTTAATGGGGGGAATTATCGAGTGTTGGCTCACATAAAAGAATAATCCTTTTTGTCATTTAATTTTGTACATTTCTTCCTTAGCCTGAACCCCTTCCCACATGTGACTCTGAACCAACGAACAATTTCCCCAACATATTATCAACGAGACACTCCATATCTCATAAAATCACACAAATCCATAGATATCTAGGCAAAGAACGTATGACACAAGAAGTGAAAATGTCACATCAAGAAACAAAACACCAGTTCAAAAGGTCAAATGTTGACAAAATCCAACAGAGCAAGAGATGAAGGTGACATAAAAAAATACTATGCAACTTTCTCCTTTCCCCTGACTGTTCACAGTTTTTTTCAGAGGCAAAAATATCCCTGCCTTTTCCCGGTATTCCAGATTTACAAAAACTTTACCTTCATTTTTCTGATGACAAAGAACCGTTTTTTAATATTTCAAACCCAATACAAATAGTGCGGGGAATGAATGAACTGGTGGTAACACCAACATTCTTATAACTTTCCAGTATTCGTATGTATATATGGAGTAATATACATATTATAGGGAAAGTTATCTATTGCGGCAGAAAATCGATTTTGACAGAAATACATTTTGGGGCCCTTATATCAAAAAAGTAATTTTTTTCAAAATGTCCGTCTACTCTGGCTAGTGCGTGTGAACAACAGTGCCTAAACCATGGAAAGGATTTTTTTCAAATTGAAGAAACCCCTGTCTATTTGGCGTGAGTTGATGCTCAGCGATTTTGAAAATCAATCAATCAGTTTTTGGGAGTACTTTACATGAAGTCACTGGGACAGTTTCAAAAATTGCATCCAATTTTTTGTTTAAATTGTAAGAATACAGTAAAATACACTGGATTTTTATAGTGAACTCTGGAGTTTTGAAAATTTCAAAAGTATGGATTTTTTGTGTCTTCCCACAACTACAGAATTAACGATGGAGATTTTTTCTTCAAATCAATTTAGTTGTCCCTATAATTTGTTTTTTCATCAAGGTCATATACATTTTTTTTGAAAATTATAGTTTTTGCCCAACATTGCGGGCAATTAGTGCAATAAAAAAATATACAAAACATGATTTTCTCAAAAACGGCTTTAAATATTTCCTTTAAACTTTAGGCAGGAATTGTGCTAAATGTACTCTATACAATGACGTAAATGCCATATTGCTTTATACTTTTGTTTTTTCAAAAATAAAAAAAATTTCTGAGAAAACTTGCTCAAAACTTCGCAAATTCAGAAATGCTCAAACACCATTTTTTCAAAAACGACTCCAAAATTTCAAAAGAATAGTGCTAATAGCACTCTTTAATAGGAGGTAAAGTTTATTTCGGACTTCCCCCCCCCTTTTTTTTTAAAATTATTATTACAGAAGTGTAATTTTTTTTAAAGATCTTTCGTACCACTAATATGCACATTTCCAGCCATTTGTTAACAACTAATGTATTTGTGAGTTAAAGACCTTCAATATTTTGAATTTACTGTAGCACTTAAGCGGCATTTTTTTAAAAACGGCTCCAAATTTTTCAGAGATAATTGGCATTTAGGACGAGGTTCTACCTTTCTTTAATATTCTTAAAATATTATTTCAATTCTACTATTAGAAAACAGAAAAATTATGAAAATTTCCCAAAATGTACTTTGTGCACCTTGGCGGTGATAGATGGCAGCAGGTATATAGTAAGTTCAAATAGCTAGCCAAGACCAAAGAAATAGAAAACTAATATGGGGAAACAGGAAAGTCTGTGCCATTCTGTAGCATCACTACCTTTAGTTGCAAATACACAGATAATTCAAACAGTATCCGGATCAGAAATAAAATCGGATTTGCTCTCCACAGGTTCAACTTTTCTTTCCCTCCAGTGATTGATCTGAATTTGTCTTGCCACCAGGAGAAATATCTTCACAAAAAAATGGCAAGAAAATATTTCACCCTGCTTACAGCATTTATCTTGTGCTTGGAAAACTATATGCTTTATCGAAATAATAATCTATATACAAAATTTGAAGTAGACAAAAGTTCCTACCAATGCATATTTTAACTCTAATATTTAATAAATGATTCAGGCACTAGAGTGTGATAAAAATTGTCATTTCCTGCAGAGGAGCTCTAGTTCTACTACACATTCCTGAAAACAACTACTGTGAATGAATATATTGTATTAGTTGAATGATGAATGAAAAATAGTTTTAGTGAGTTAAAATGTTGAAGTTTATACGAAATGGAAATTTTGTTACAGACAATATTTTGCACCTCTTCTTATAGCTGCATGTAGTTTATTCCTTATACTTTGGCTTTGAAAAACATTTATCTTATAATTGAGCTAAATAAGAGTGGAAATTTAAAATTAGTGGAGAAACTTAACTACTTGCCTACTCATGTTGGTGTATACACATCTGAAATTTCCGATATTCTGAACAAAATTCGGGATAGAGGAAAAAATTAACCAAAAAAACAACTAATTTGTATTAATTAAATTTATGAACACAAAAGCTCTAAGTTTATTCAACCCAATTCTGAATTCTGTACATGGAATACCAGTTAGCAGCAGGAACAGAAATTGTGCTTCAATTCTCCTAAACAATGAATCTCCTAAACAGCAACTACTACCGAATGCGACCAGATAAGTACGTACGTGCGTACTTAGTTGTTTGCAACATTGTTACTTCCTCATGTTGCTACGCCATTTCCTCACATCACACTCTACATTGCATTGTGTCTGGTAATCCTGTACATGTATTTGTACATGTATGATACATTTTTGCGGATAATCTGAACTGACCACATGCAAATAAGTTCGGAAAACTGGATATATTTGTTTTTGAACAAAAATGTACATTTTAGCTTCATTAACTGATCGCTCTTGAGTTTTTCTCATTTTTAACTTTCTCATACACAGAGTAAATATTATATGAACATTTATATGGAACAGAACATATTGTTCTCTGTAATATTTTGGTTATCTAATGCTGGGATGTACATATACCCTCTGCAAGTAAATTTGTTCCTCCTGATCCAGAAGGAGCAGTGTTCAATCATCTAACAATACAAATAATTAATTAATTGGATTGTTGGTGAAGTAGATACCTTTTTATAATGATAAATAAAGATATATTAAATATAGATATAAAGAAGAAATAAATAAAGATATATTTGTATTTCACAACAAATGATCATAAGTTGAATTAAAATATTGATACCTGACAATATCTTTATTTATTCATCACAAATAATTAAATCACAATTGTCCTTTTCGAGCACATACTGAAATTAGAGTGCTATTGTAATAAAATAGGGCAAAAGAGAGTTTTTCTCAAGTTTTAGCCAGAGGACCAAAAAAAATTGTTTTCAGCTCTTTTGATGTCGTTGTGGCAAAAATTCAAATATGCATGTTTGAACAGAAGTTATAATCCACTATATTTGTACGTAAGGTATATTTGATAAACTTATGCTGTGCAAATATAAGTAAAAACTGAAATGGGAAGTTTGAGAGATTTCCCTCCCCTTTTTTTTTACCAATATCCTTTGCGAATTTAACATGCAAAATTCAACTTCCTACCCCGACCAAAACATTATAAGAACTGTGCAAAAAAAACATTGAAATTTTTTCCCGGAAGCACAACTTTATGATTTTGAGGCCAAGCTTCATGGTTACTTAATCTTGTAGTTTAATGGTTTCATCTTAATCTAGTTGTCACTTTACATTGGTTCCTCTATTGCTCACTACATAATCTTCTAATTATTTTTGGATTGGAGAGATGATTACACATTTGCTTTCAGAAATAGCATTTACTTCCAAAAAGTTATATGAACTTATTGTTTTTTTTATGATATTATTATTTACTCTTGTCTATACATTCTTTTTTTTAAACATTTGTTAATAATTTAATTATTAGTTTTAGTACTAACCTCTTTTGATGTAACTTATAGTGTTGTATGGAGTAAAGTGAAAGTCTTCAGCCAGATAGCCTTCTATAAGTAAATGACCAACTACATCCTCAGCCATCTCTCTAGACAAAGAAGGAACTTTCACAGAGGAAACCCGTAGATTTGCTTTACCTTTTCCAAACCATGCATCAACCAACATCTGAGCTGTAAAGAATCTGTGTTCAAATCCTTTCATATATGCAATTTACAACCACAATTAAAACATACTACATTAAACAAGAGTTCTGCACCTGTGAGTTTAGCATCATTACCAGCTGCATTTTGAATAAGTTTGTACAACGATCGACAATATTCTACAATTTCAATTTCTTTCTTTTCTCTCGGCCGGCGGCAATGATCACACATCTCATTACAATCTGATGTATCCCAACCCTCATTAAAGTGTGAAGCAATGATGGATCGACGGCATCTGTAACATAAGAGAGTATTCACAAATTGATACATTTCTCATCGTGTTCCATACATGAAATAACAATTTCATAAGGGAAATGTTTACCTTGTCTTGTCCAAGCAGTAGGCAACAATACCATACAAACACTCTAAACCAGTTTGTTGTGTAAATACCATTGTACTTAATCTAAAAACATCAGCAAATCGATAATATAAAATACAATCAGCTGCTTTATTATCCCGTCCAGCTCTTCCACTTTCCTGCAACAACCCAACAAAAATGGTTGTGCTTGAAGGCAAAAGAACGGACATCTACTTGCCATGCTACATCAAGGACTGTACCTGATAAAAATTTTCCATTGATTTTGACAAAGAATGATGGATAACAAAACGTACATCAGGTTTGTCAATTCCCATTCCAAAAGCTATTGTAGCCACAACAGCCTAGGTGAGAAGTACATAAAAAGTAATACATAGAAAATCAAAAATAAATGTAGTTACAATAGCCAACATAGAACATCTCATTCCCAATCAAAACATTTTTGTATCTACTCATAGTAATAAGAGAATGCAATATACAAAAAGTGGGCATTTTGCCTTTGCTAAAGAAACAACATCAATTGTTTTTTTATCATTTTAAAAATTTTGTCAATTTTATGATAGGTCCTTATATCTCAATGAGGAAAGTCCCTTCATAAATTAAATTATGTTCTTTTATGAGGCACTTCAGAAATCATATATCAAAAATTGGGAATAGAAAAAGTATTTTATTTGAAATATGAATCCTGTTTTTCACCTGGTATTCCCCTGAAAGCCATTTTTGATGAACTTTACTTCTGAGAGCAGCATCCAGAGTTGCGTGATAACACCCAGCTCGAATGCCTCGTTTTCTAAGTTCCTGCATCAATTCCTCACAATCTTTAATTGAAGTAGCATATATAATCCCTGATTTTCCAGCATACTTAGTTTTCATGAGTTCTACTAAACTATCAAAACACTCCTTTTGGTTGGAAGGCTTTTCTCGGACCTGGAAGAAACAAATAATTAAGATCATTAGACACAATAAAATTCCAACAAAATGAAGATGAAGCTTTCTTCTACAGCAAAGGCAGTTATACTCAGAATATTTTCAAAACTTCCTATTCTGTAGTAAGAATTTTTATTTTTAATTTGTGAACTGCAACTGACACCGTAATTGTATTACTGAGCTTGAGCACCTGGTGCGAGATAGACACTTGTGTTTTCTTTTTTTCTGCTATGAAATCACAGCCTTATCTAGTTCTATTGGAAGTATCTGACAGTACAATTTGGTAATTTTTGTAGCATGTGATTCAGAAATTGAAGTGGGTGTGAAAATAGATGAGAAGTAGTTGGCAAGTTCAAGGTTTGGGGAATTTTCAAAATACTGCAACAACCTCCAGGCATCCTTTGATTAATAGTGACTCTCTTTCCCAATTAAATTTAGTATTAAAGAAATGAAATTATGTTCTACTATTCATAATAATGAATTCTTAATAAGAGTATGATTCCATTCCATTATCTTTGATTGGAAATCTCATATTTTTAGTATTTCATGTCTCGACAGAAAGAGTAAACCACTGGTGCTACAGATGGCACAGACTTTTCCATACTAGTTAGTATCTAGTTTATTTGGTTTGTGCTTGCTTTTTGGTGTTGCTCCATTATTTTGCCAGCTACCACCTATTGTAAGAATTATACTGAATTGTTGCCTTATTTCATGTGGATAGACTCAGGCCATGAGGCCAGCTCTTCCGACTGACCATGCAAAATTTCACTTACGCTCCTTTTACCAACTAGCGGAGAAAGGAGGTATTTCTTGGGTGACGAAACAGGCGATTTGAATTTAGCTCAGAGGCATCATTTAGGCTTGGGGATCTTTTACATGCAGTAAATCTACTAACATGGGATAGCTGGCTTTACTTCCCCTCCAGAGGAAGGCATAGAACAATTTTTTGAATTATTTTTGTTTCCTAATGATAGAACCAAAATGTCACTCTTAAAGAGTATTATAAAAGAGTAAAAACTTCCCAAACCATGTATTTCTGTTGAAATTCCAAGTGCTATGAGATCTTGAGTTGTGTGGTTACAGGTAATTTTAGGCAATGCAGGGCAAAAATACATTCTGCAGAAGACACACTAACTGGCAAACTCAAGAAAATGTGTAACAGTAGTTTACAATTAAGATAAATGTCTGTGAAGTACATTCTACACATTGACAAATTTCTCACTATTTAAATTTCTTCTTAAAGACGAATGAAATCACCAAACTTATATAAAATCCCCACTACAAAAACTAACCCGGGGTGGGGGGTGGGGGGACAGGGATTTGCTCTTGTTTGACTCCAAATTTATTTAAACTAGTGGGGCTAAAACAGCACATACTTTCTTGCTTTTAGTGCTAGTTACGTAATACTATTTGTAACACAATTTCTCTCAAAATTGACACATCTCAGTCAATATTTTTTGTCAAACTAAATACTGTGGTTAGGACAATTGGGCAAAATACTTTAAATTTAGCATTCCGATATTTCGCTCAAATACTAAATAAATAAGTATGGAAATAAATACAAAAAGACAAAAGTCTTGATGTGCTAAATACATACTTATTTAAAATGCTTCAAATACTCAAAATACTGTACACAAATATTAATTTTGTGTTATATATTTTTAATTGCAACAATATAATGTAATTGTTAATTACAGTAAATTAGTAATTGACAGTAATACAAAATTCTGAACAATATTGTAATGTATTGTAACCATATGTATGAACGTTTTCCAATATAAAATGATGTCAAAAATATATCTAACACAAAAAAATGGAATTTCCTTTCAATTTTCTTTTTTAATTTTTCAAACAAATCATCAGACCCCTAGCTGGGAAATGTATAGGAAAACAGTCATTTAAGTGGCATGGATGAACACTAACATCTTGTAACAAATAAATTCTTCTTTGCATTGCCAGATAATACCAGCGTTTTTAATAATTTAGATTTATCATTTAAAAATGAAGACAATCCAAATTCCACAGCTGAAAGGAGATCATCGTTTTTTGCTTCATCTGTATTTGTAATAATTTAAGTTTTTCTTTTTTTAAATACACCTACTTCATGTATTTAAACACATCTCTAAAATTTGTTCCCCAAAATAGTTTTTCAAACATAAAGTGTATTAAAAATACAAGTGCTATTTAAATACTGCCCAACACTGTTCATTACAAATCATATAATATTTGGTGCAGAAACTTAATATTTCCAAGCAAATATCAACCCAAATTTGACAATTATAACTGCTTTTCATACAGATAAATCATGTTTCCCACAGTAAGATATCACAAAAATTATCTCCCAAGGCATTGTTGCATTACATTCGAAGCAAACGATTATTTTGTTCAAATTACACAAAAAACACTCATCTTTACAAAAAATTGAAAATGACATTATTTGAAGATTGTTTTTTATGTACACATTTCATTACGGAAAAAAAAAAAGTGTCAGTAGGAACAGTAGGATGCATTTCCCCCCTGGAAAATCATGCATTTTGCGGCAGTTAAGAAAGAATGGTTTAAAGAAAATAAAAAATTGCCTATGTTTGACACAAAATTTCACAATGTTGACGGTTCTTGAAAAATTGAACATGACCTTACTGAACATCTGTTTTTGAAGAACACATTTCATTAAGAAAAAAATGGATCTTCATAATTCCAGTTGTAGAAACATGTCAAAATATTTTGATTCTTTCAATTGAAAGATCAGGTTTTCTACCAACACATGACCTGCACAATTTTCTTAAACATTCTTAAAGCAATTCAACAATAAAATTTCATCAAAAAGGATGGAACAGTTTTTGAGAAAAAAATCTTTAAACAAAATTTAAATTTGACTATATTTTATACAAAATTACATGAAAAATACCAAAATTTCCGAAAAATTGTACATGACCACATTTCAAAATCTATCTTTAAGGAACAGATTTTATTCCGGGAAAAGTCTTAATCTTTAACATTTTAGTTATTGGAAGACACTGAAAAAAATGACGTTTTGACCTACATCATTCTCTTAAATGTCCTTTACACTATCCAACAACAAAATATAATTAAACGATCGAGCCATTTTTCAACAAATTTTGATGTCCCAAAGGCTTCATATAAAGTACCGCTCAAAATTAAAATATCACTTTCAAATTCATTGGGTCGCAAAATCAGACAGATCGATTGAGGAATATGTTGGAGAAAATCGGCTAAAAAGTGTAACCGCTAGCATGGTTGTCAGACGGACGGACGTTTTGCCGTCAACTGATTTCTCGGTATCAAGGACCCACAAAACATGCATTTCGCTACACCACGTGTTAGATCCACACCTAAAACCTTTAATGTGGCTGCAGGCCATATTTTGATTACTTGGGTGATGCACACATGACCTCCTGTATTGTTGATTTTGGCTTTTTGTCGGCTGCTGTGATATATGTGTGTGTGTGTGGGGGGGGGCATGCATAATACAAGGCCGTATCCAGAAATAACGCAGTGAAACATGACTTTCTGAATTCACTAAAGAAAATCCTTACATCGAAACAACTAACTTTCTAACAAACGAGGTGTTGACCCCAACAGAGCGTGTGCGCTAGCTGCCCAATGTTCTTGTCCAACACGGATGAAAGGGTCTTTTGTATGATCACTTTCCACGGGCCATAATAAATGGCACCTTGGGCCGCATGCGGCCTGCCTGTTGGACAGCCCTGTGTTAGAAGATTTTTAAATAGTTTTAGCAACTTGATTTATGCACTTTTTCGTTACCAGGGCCCTAAGGATTTTGCGGCTGAAAAATCACTGTTTTCTTTCCGCAGCATTATGTAACTGTCTCTCTACTGCGGTAGCGAGAAAGTAAAAAGTACACAAACACAACCAACTTACTTCATAAAACAAATTGGGCCGGTTAAACGATGCCCTAAAAACCAAACATCCAGAAATATTGAGCATTTTTTGAACATCTACAATCACTTTTGAAGTAGCAGTTGCAGTGAGTCCCAATATGGGAACGTCTGGAAACATCCCTTTGAGTACACCAAGAAATTTGTAATCTGAAACAATGCATCATAATCTTGTATCAAAAAATATATTTGTTATATATCATTACATAATATTGTTAATAATAAAGCGTCAATAATAAAGTTAATATAATCTTGTACATAAGTAGAAGAAAACTATTCATATGATTTCACAAATTTCGCTGAACACAAAAATTACCTTTAGCTTCTGATCTACTCAAAGGTATAAATCTATGGAAACTAGTCACACGAAAATGATGTGAAGCATCATAAACTACAAAAGAAACATTTTGAAAACAAAAAAAGGAAAATACATTGTTTCACCATTTTCATGAAGTTTTCAATAGCTGAGTAACTTAAGGGCAGAATTTTCATTGCAAATACATTAAATTTTATTGCAAGTATTTTCTGGGGAAAGAAGAAAGTTAAGTAAAATGAATTTAATTCCGTCAAAACGCAGGTAAATTTGAAAAAACTTGAAACAAGATATCCAGAGTGTGTCACAATTGAAATTATTGCAATGTAGTTTTCCGGAAGTGCATGAGAAAACGGGATTAATTGATATGCGTATTCATTTCACTTTTATTTTACGAAATATTTGAGAAAACATGTTTTTTTTCTAATGGAATTATACATATTCTTTCAGTCTATCATGAAGAGCGTAAAAAGACAAGTCCAATGAAATATGTATTGTCATATGTTAGATAAACATTTTTTTGAGTAAATTTTCCATGAATAGTGTTTAACGGATACTTTGAATTTAACAGTTTGCGACACAAGGTCCTAATGCCCCCTTCCTCCACTGCTAGCGTGCATTCGGGAAGGGATCTTAGTGTTTAAAAACATTAAACATAGTCCAAATATTTACAAAACTGTTGAAGTTGTTTCGTTTCAAGATCCCATTTATATCTTGTGGTATGACACACCTTTAAATGAAGTTAAAATAACGACCAATACATGCCACAAGCAACAAGTCCGTATTTTCAATCCTTAAGTAATACAAAAAATATGAAAATGTGGAAGGATGGAAAGCTCAGATTAGGAAAAGAACAGCGACAGATTTGTGAATATATGGAATTTGTTTATATCTGTTTTATGTCTTACACGAATATATCTGTTTTATTTAAAAAGTTCTCGATTTTTAGGTTTCCTATTAGTTTCCTAGTGTAACTGAAATATGACTTTACCAATATTATTGAGCAGTAAAACCTCTAAGGATATTTCAGTTGAAAACTTTGGAGCCGATTTTAAGAAAATGGTGTTTAAGCGTTACTGCAAATGCGGAGTTATGAACTAGCTTTCATAGCAAATCATAGCTTTCATAGCAGTCGAAAAACTGTACAGTCGAAGAAGAAAAAAAATAAAAAAAGAAAAGTAATAAGCACTATCCCTACCAAAATTTTAAAGAAAAAAATTGAAGCGGTTTTGAGAAAAAATTGTTTTTGTATTTTTTTAAATGGCACAAATTGCACGAAAAATACTAAAATTTTCAAAAAAACCAATTTTATTGGAAGATAAAATCTCTATCTTTAATTTTGTTGCTGTAAAAAGATTCAAATAATATCTAAACTTTAAAAAAACTTAAACTTAATATCTAAACTTAAAATTTTTTCAAAAATTGAGAGTAAACCGTGAAAACCTGACCTATGCCACATTTACAAGTGCATTTTACTCTATTATAAAAAATTTAAAGAAAAAATTTGGATCTACTTTTGAGAAAATCTTGCAAACATCCCAGGGGCTTCATGTAAAGTATCCTACAAAAACTAATGAATGATTTTCAAAATCGCAGAGCTTTGACTCAGGCTAAATGGGCAGGGGTTTCTTCAATTTGGAAAAAATCCTACACATAGTTTAGGCACTAGTTCACATACAGCAGACGGATGAAAGACGTTTGGAAAAAAACAAACAACTTTTTCTATTTAAGGGAAGCCGCAACAGTATATTTCTGTTGAAATCTCAAATTGAAAAGTGTGGACATGTAATGTTATTATACATATTAATGTTTTATGAGTTTAAGATTACAAGACATCAAATTTTAAAAAGTTTGTGCAGTTTTCCTTTCAACATATCCTGGCCAACTTTTAAAAACAACTTAGATAATAGCTTTAATTGTCATCAAGAGCACATCTAAAATTCGCATTTATTCAGGAAATGAGGGCATTATTATTCATATCTCTCTCTCTCTCTACATGAAGCCCATAGGAAACATTTCAAAAAATGTTCCTGTATATACTTTACTTAAAAATAGTTTTTGAAATAAGGCTCATGTACAAATTTTCAAAAATTTGAGTACTTTGTACGTAATTTTGGTGAGAGTACGTGCGAATCACCAGACGCACGTTCTGTTTATGATAGCACCAAATATTCATTGCTATTAAAAGTCTCAATCTTCGTCTGTCAGTGGTTCATATAGTATTAGTTTATCTGTACTTGGACAGAAGGGTTGAAATTCCATGTCCTCATCTAACATGCTAGAAGAGGCAGAACCACTCATGACTGAACGTCACAATATGAACAAATAAACAACTCTCGTTTTCGTTTAAGAAATATGTTGATTTTGAGCTATTCGACCTTCTGCTATAAAATACTGCCTAACTGCGCCTAAACGGTCTGTGGCCCAAACTTAAACTATAATTGATTTTTAATAATGGGCCAAACAACTTTTCAGTTTATGTAATAAAAATATGCCATGACTTCCTATGAGCTGCACCCATGTGAGTGACGCTAGTGTCTAAATCCTACAGAGTACTAGTTGGTCCTTGATCATATAAATAGATCCCGTTCTAATATTTTGGCGTATAGACAAGGGGGTTGAAAGTTGCATCATTTCACATTTGAGTTAATAGATGTTGAGAAAAACACAATGGCAGACAATATTTCGACCATACAAAAATACCAATAATAACACACTGTTTATATCAGTTATGTTCAAAATATCACACACCCTTTCAATTTACAAACTATCAATGTCAGTCAAAAATTCAAATGGAATGTCCCATTCAGAAGATGATAATGTACACAAATTACTAAGTCATAATAACGTATGCGATCAGAATTCATTCAAATTGCAGTCACCCTCATACTGCTCGTGTATATATTTTCATGATGTTCATCTCTTCCTGAGAGATATGACATAATTAATTAGGGGAAACACATCCTACATAGTTCAAGACTTGTATATAAAAAAATACAATTGTATGAATCAAAAAGCCAAATCCCATCTAATGTAATGTATAATGATTCATATAAGCTCTGTACCAAGTATTGTAACCTCAGCTTCTGGGTCAATGACTCCCATCTCAGGTTTTCGCTCCACTTTCCCTGATCCCTTTGAGCAAATGCCTTTGTTTGCTTCTGGACATTAAACATAAGTTTTCTATTGATGTATGTGTGTATGTAAATTATCATTCTCCATGTTAGCAGAAGTGATTCCTTCACAAAGGCATGACTGAGAGAAAATACCTATAAAATCTATTACTGAGTTGGCCTTGCAAATATTAGTTTTTTATTACACGAGGGCGCAATTTCTCTTACTCAACTCTTGCCAATAATGCTTCGCATTAGTATTCTGAATTCACTTGTATATGGTTAGGGTCAGCAAATTCCAGAATTTAGAGAAGACACTTCTCTCGCCATGGAACATCATACAGAAACAATTTGAATGTGTTTTAGATCTGTATTTACCAATTCATCTCTATTGAATCCCAATACATAATTGTCAGGTAATATGTATATTGCTTCCTCTTTCATTAAAGAAAGTTATTCTAGAAACCAATCTCTGAATGACCTGGGCTGAAACAGTCAGATGACCGCAACTGGGAGCAGCCACATGCTGCACTGTCGCATCGAATAGCCATATTCAGATCGATCAGGCACTCGTTGGTTTAAGTTCATGCTCAACATCCTCTTGCACTGAGTAGTTATTTCTGTCAATGAAACGTTTGCTCTTAGCCAACTTTTCAGGAGTCACATTAATATGCTAGCATTATTTCCAATTTTGAAGAAGACTATTTATTAGTATCAGAGAACGTCTATTTCGATGATTTGAAATATGTACTTAACAATTTAGAAAAAATAAATTCATACAACAAAATATAACATCTGTTAGTATTCAGTTCTCTACATAGTGTGGAATCACAGATACACTATGAAATTTTACATACACAGCATGAAATGATTATGGGGTTGTACTGTATAAGTATCACCTGTTGAATTTGTATTCTGAACTTACTTCCACGGGCTCAAAGTCTCTGATGCACTCGAGCAGCGATATAAGCATATGATCGCATAGCTTCTCTTAACAAGCAACACTAATCTGCTGGTCTTCCATTACGCAGCACACAAGAGGTGGGAAAATTACACCAACCGTTAATTCCGAGGAGACATGCGATAAGAATATGCACCATTTTTTAGTACTGACTTACTGTTAGGCGACACAACACATAAGGTATCAGAAGATATTATTTAACGTCTGTATGTCCACAATTTTGTAACACTATTGTTTTACTACATTCTTTTATTCACCAAATGTCAAGAAATAAAAAAATTGTATACAGGACTTTCGGGAGGGAGAAAAGCTGCACTCATTAAATATTCAGAAGCTAAGAAATGCTGCATTTGCCTAATTAGACGAAGGGGAATTGAAAGACAAAACTAAGCGAGATGGTTTCTCTTACTGATAAAACCACCATGATTGTTAACCCATCAACACTCGGACATGTTTTTGTTATAAGATTACTCACACATAAGATTTTATGTAACAATTGTTTATGCTGAATTTACTGTTTTATTGTAAATCAAATTCATGCATTAATAATACAAGATATTTGTTAGGGAGTTCTACAACTTGTTTACATGTAATAATGCATGAAGATAACATGCAGGCTCACAATTTTTGTTTATAATAAGCTCTCAAATCAAAATCACAATCACGAAGTGAAGTATAATATTAAAAGCAAATTTGTGAGGCAAATCATGAAATACAATTAATGCATAAACTATATATTTCACCACATTAAACATACAGGGAGCCTCATGGCTAGCTGTTGGTCAGTGTGATTGCTTTCCACTATGCGGCCCTGAGTTTGAATCCCAGTGAGGCAAGATTATATTGTCTATTTTTTTGCAATGTTCCAGAATTTTTTTTGCTGAGTAATGACGAGAAAGTTCACTTCTGAGGTTGAGAAGACCGCAACACAGTGTGGGAGTGTCTACGTGCTAACCACATGAATCCCCTTGACCCATGGCTGCGAGGCATAGTTGTTACCAGTAGGCCTGAGCCCATTCACAGGCTGTCATGCCAAGTACATACATAAACATTCAGGTCCATTTAAGAATGAAAATAAGCTTCCCTAAAACTACATTTGTTGCATACAAATAGTCTTTCTTGTGTGTTCTTTACAAAGGGGTTTGGAGAAAATATTACAGTGATGCTGCGTGAACCTGTTGTGCCTCTTTAGATAATAAGTGAATCTTTTTTTTCCTCTTGATTGCTCTCTAGCCTAATTTTTTTAAAAAAAGAAAGAAAAAGAAAACAGAACTAACATAAACTACAGCAAGGGATGGCCGATGATTTCCTTGTTTAATCAATGAATCTTATCTTTGGGTATAAAAAACACCATCAAGATAAAACACTATGTTTTTCTGATCCTCACGCTAGCTCTCAAGACAAGCCAGAGTAAAGAAATGGTAGGAGAGTGGAATGTATCAAAACATAACACAACACGCCACAATTATCAAATCCTTCTCATATTGTTTCCCTTTGCAGAAGTGATAAGAACGTTGAACAGATGCATAGTTGAATTCTACAGGAAGACATTGCTCGAGCACTAACTCTGCGAGTTCAAAAATGTCAATGCTATTGAAATAAATCCAGAATTAATAATTTCTTCTAACAGTGTGATTAACAGCAAGTTAACAGTTGACCAACTCTTCAAATTAATTGATTTATTAAATTACAGATAATTTGAAAAGTCCATCACTTTTAACCCCTATATTAGCACGCAAAAATTGGCTGAAATACATTATAACTATCATAGTTTTAATATGAATGTTTGAAAAAGCCAAAGCACTACTTCTATACTTCTGAACTACAGTAACTTTTTATAGGGAGCATACCAGGTAAAACTAAAGCAGGAAGTTGATAACACAGACTTTTTCCTCCACCCGTGGGCATAATCAAAATTGTATCTTCTTTGGAAAGAACAGCATTTACAGTCTGCAATTGATGTGGTCGAAATCCAGGAAGTTTGAATGTTGTTTCCAGAACTTCAACCACCTTCTTGTACCATGGAAAGTCTACAAAGAAACAAATACACCATTACTGAGGAGTTTCTAAGGTTTGCTTTTTCTTATTATTATTTTTATCACTACTACTATTTTCCAATTGAACACATTAATAGTGTATACCTTTGGAAGACCAATTTCGATTAGCCAATGTCAAACTCTTCTTAAGAGTCATCTCATCTTTTAAACTCTGCTTTTGTCTCAGCAAGAACTCTTTGCGTTCTTGGAGACTTAATATTTGAGTTTCCACTGTCTGTAATTCATAGTCTATTTCAGCTAACTTGTCTTGCAAGGTAACTGCAAAATGTAACCAATTATATTAAGAACATAGGAAAACACTCCAAACCCGTCCAGAAATTTACTGTAGAACGATCACAAATTAAAGTAACCAATAAAATACGCTGACATAAAAATGATTACATACCTTCCTCGTCCGACATTTTAATGTATTTGACGTGAGAATTTAAGTCATTCGCATACTATTCCTTAATTACACTAAATTGTGCTATTCAAACCAAATTTGAATCTGCTACTTTGCACAACTGGCAATGTCGGTCGAACATTTGGATTTGAAATTATTAACTCAATTAAAAAAGAAAGATGAGCTACGTAACCGAAAATGCTTATACATTTTCAATAACATTAATTACTAGATGCTGTCAATGGTGACAATTAACTCAATCACTTTGTCACTTGCCGCATCGTGTGACCCGCTACTTTACAGTTGTTAGCCCTGGACCACCCTGGACGTCTCCATTTTGAATTTTGAAACCCTTAGCGCTTGCAGCAGTACAGTGATAGGAATGATAACTAATTACAGCACAACGATTACTCACTAGAGTTCGCTTGCATGAACAATCACAACTATACTAGATCGTCCAAAGAGCGCGATCTCTAAAAGAAAACAATACTAATAAAAATAAGGAATTTTCACCATTTGACAATATTGTATAGAACTCTAAATGCTAAATGTACCGAAAAACACTCGTAGGAAAATTCAATAAATCGCAGCGTTGTCAGGGGAATTTATATTATCATTAACGTCTCTAAACAAATGGACCGATTTTCTTTCTGTACATGGCATTTGAAAATCTATAAAATCTCTTTAACAAAACAACTCATTTTTGAAATTCCTTTCTATAGTTCCGGGAAATTTAAAAATGATGTGGGGTCTTAGCGCGATGGCGACATGCTTCCTGTATCCACGTATCCTCCGACGAAGCGTCGCAATCACTCAATTTCAAACTTGTCTTTAGTAAAACGCATCTAATAAAATAATTATTCTAATTTTAGGGGTTTCATGTTCTTTAGGAAGAGGATAATAGTGCACAGCTGAAGAAATTAACAAAAACTTTTTAATACCACTGTATTTATTGTACATTATTTTCATTACAAAGTATTTTTTATTATTATAATCCCAAAAGAAAACACATTACAGAACATTATCATTAAATATATTACATAAAACATATTACATAACATCATTTAAAATGAATATAATTCAAATCCTATCTAAAAACAAAACAATTAATAGACATTATAAAAAGAAGTGAATGATATGGCAATGGAATCTTTCAATATGTGATTGGAGAAGTTTTTTCAAAACACAAGTTGGTACCTTGTAACAGAAGTAACTTCCTGCAAAAATGATTTCTCAACATTTTTTTAATGATATTGTTATAAATCCAAAATAAAAAAAAAGGAAAAATAGATAATCTGTTATCACTTTACTCATACTCCTTTAAGCGGCAAAAACATTATGACAAAGCAAAATGCATCTTCTTGTGAGCAAAAGGTGTACATTTTAAACATTTCTGGGCATATTTCATATTTTGTGGCATACCGGCAGGCATGTATTAAGATTAAAATCTTGTCAGCTCTAGTGATAACTTATCTAGTAATACCAGCCTGCTATACCAGCCATCTATACAAGCTATACCAACTATACCAGCAGCATCAACATACTGAGAAAAAAATTGAATGATTGAAGTGAGATATTCATGAGAGAACAAAATATATTCAGAAAGGGAAAAAGCAAAAAATACATCACATTCTCTGTATTTTCTATTGTTACAAAACATATTGAAATAAATTTGCCAACCTACAAACTATTTATAATTTCAAACTGGAATAATAGGGCTTACAAAGAAATAAAGTGAAAACACTAAAGTAAAAAGATATTTATAAGATATTTTAAAGATAAAAGATATAAGAAAGTTTTAATATATTAGCATGATATTTATTTATTTATTTATTTATATACATATAATTACAGGCAATCGCCCAATTATTAAATATCATTTACATTATCATTTACATTACATTATTATTGAAAATCATTTAGTAACAGGTTTTCATAAGTTTTTTTAAATTGATAAGGTGGACAAAAAAGTTAATGCGGTTACAGTTGGCCCTTCCACACATTTTCCATAATGGCGCATAATAGTACAAGGTTGATATCACAAAAGGAATATTAAATAACACGCTGTTTGTAGAACGCAGATCACGTACTGGATTAGCCCAAGGAATTTTACAATGTAATTCTGAAGAGTCTATATCATGATTTATCAAATTATTTACAGAAAAAGTACATCAAAAATAATCCCTATGGGAGCGTAATGAGCTAATATTCAATCTAGTAGTGACTTGGAAATAATTGTGACTAAATCTAGGAGATGGAATATCAAGCTTGAAGGCAAGCAAAATAAAAAAAATTGTGCTGAACAGTCTCAAGTCTAGAGATATGGTTCTGCTAAAGGGAGACCATATTTGTGAGCCGTATAATATATCGTCTTACTAGAGTTAAATATAAAGTTTTGATGGTTTGCACATTAGTAAATTCAGATGCAATACGTTTCACAAATCCTAACATCTGATTTGATTTATTAATATCGTCAATGTGTAAATGAAAACTAATTTTTGATCAAAAAAAGTACACCCAAATCTTAAAGTATGAGACTGATTCCAACATTGCATCTCCCAGTTCATAATTGAATACTATGAGATTACTAGATCTAGTAAAGACAACTTCCACTTACCATTATTCAAATTCAAACATTTTGATGAACACCAATCTAACAATGTATTTAATGTCACAATTGTAAATCGAAACAGTCTTGTAATGAATTTATAGTTTTATTAAATGTTCAAGTCATCAGCAAAAAGTAGGAATTTTGAATATGGAAGTGTTTTCTTAAGATCATTACAAATAGAATGAATAATAGTGGCCTGGGGGAGAACTTGTGGGACTCCAGATAATGACGTAATATATTTCTAGAAACGAAGGATTTATATTTACATTTTGCGTTCTCCCAGTTAAGTAACTACAGAACCAATTCACGATTGTACCATGGATACCAATTTCTTCCAAACACATGAAGTAAAAAGAAACATGGTTTACAGTATCGAAGGCTTTGGAAAAGTCTGTATAAATTACATCTACTTGTTTTTGTATATCTAAATTTCCAAGTATGTAATGTTGGATAGTCATCAAATTAGTAACAGGAGACTCCCTTTTACGAAAACCATGTTGTTCTTCGATCAAAATTAGATTAAGAAATTGTGTCAATTTAATTGTTATGATGGATTCCATCATTTAGCAATTATACATAGTTTAGAGATTGGTCTGTAACTCTCAACGTTAGAACATTTATCTTTTTTGTGAATCGGAGTTATATAACTGGGTTTTTCACATCTTTGGGAGGGTTCCTTCTCGCCAGAGATTAATAAATAAAAAAGTGTAGAATTGGTGTCAGATTCACATTACAATTTTTCAATAATAATGATGGTATACCATCAGGCCAGGAGAAGTGTCGGTTTTCAATTTATCAATAGCATTAAGAACATCACGTTGAGTTTATATCCATAAAAGCCAATATCATCCAGTTTTATCATCTTGAATTTGAATTTCTAATAGTTGGAATATCGTCATTTTTATACACAGTTTCAAAAATTTTGCGAATAAATCTACAATTTCTTGAGGTGAATCCGGCGTTTCATTCCGAAACACAGAATTTGTAAGAAGATATTTTTCTCTTAGCGTTAGCATACTTCCAAAATGATTTAATGTCGTGATCGATAGAAGTTTCAATTCCAATTAAATAATCTGAATATCCTGAGCTTGTTTCGCTTTACATTTTTTTCCTCAAATCAGAGAAGATAGTATAATCATTACATTTCGAGATAGTTTAAAACTTTGAATGAGCGCGCGATTTCTCCTGAAAGCATGTTTATCAAATCCTTAGAAAACCAAATTGGATAATGATGAAGAATAATGAAGTTTTCTAGGAACATGTTTTCTCGATATTTTCATATAATTTTTATATAGGATTTCAATCGACAATGTCTAAAGAATTTACAGTAAATAAGGGATACCACATAAACTTTAATAATTCTTCATTTATCATATATAAATCAGCAAGTTTAAAAATTATATAAAGTTCGGAGAGTCTAAAGGTAAAGTGATATTGTTCATTTTCTCAAAGTGATATTGAGAGCAGGATAATACTTATCACAAGAAGCTAGTGGAAAGTCAGATTAATTAATTTGTGATAACGAGTCATTGATGAAAATTAAGTCTAACAACTTTGTCATTAACATTTACTACGTTGTTAAATTTGATTCACGTTCAAGGTATTCATAGTATTTTTGAGTAGATTACTAATCTGATAAGTGATATCAAAAATACCAGTTGAAACATTATTTACAGTAATGTAACTTTCTGTAGTCCAATTGATAACTGGTAAATTAAAATCACCAGTTATTATAAATTTAGCTGTAGGATCCTCTCACGTTCTGATATAAGATTAGTAGATCCGGGGATTGCCTGTTTATATGTTTTCCTGGTTGATAGAAGAACTATCAATGGAATTTGTTTTTGTTCTATCTTTGGAAATTATTATATATGGAACTTCATTTCTATACTTCAGTTTACTTCCAGTAATACCTTTTTCTTAATTTGCCTTCATTTGAGATAATAAACTTTTCAAAAGTTCACGTTGCTTTGGTGTCCGGTCGGCTGAGATTTTAATAGAACCTTTATTGCTTTTCTTGTGTTTGAGAATGTCTAACACCAAGGAGTGATTTTTCAATATGACTTTCAACAGTCTTATGCTAGATTGAGAATTTGTTTGAGAATCTGTTGACGATTTGGCAGGATTACCTCGTTTATAATAGGGCCCTAGTCTCATTGTTGAAAATTCACCAATATCGATGTCGGTGATAGCCGTTAGAGTAGTTTTAGCTGCTTGTTTATCATCGATCAATCGTTGTTGTGTAGACACATTCTCTTGACCCTCATCGACACCAAACAAAATCATATTATATGAACTCTTTTCTCGATCAATTATTTCACCATACATTTCTTCAAAATTCGATGATAAGGAATTCGGTCCGGATTTCCATTATTTCTAAGTTCTTGCACTTACTTCAATAGCGTATCATTTGACGCCTGCAAAAACTCAATTTTCCTATTTAATCTAGCAAGGAAAGTCTTAAGATCACCATGGTCAGTGGCCGCTTCACATTTATCGCAACAGTAACGAAGTCTTATGGCTTTTTCCAGTGCAAAAACCTTAAGTTCTGAAGCTGAGAGTTTGGAACACATGACATGCTCTGCACTCAGCATAGTCCGGTTCACCAGATTTATTGTTCACACGGATAACCGAATCACATTCAACACAATTCATTGCCATGATTTATAGATCTCAGATATTATGAAGTAAATCACCTGTACGATTCATAAACCAAACTGTTATCAGTCCGCAACGCGTCGGTAAGAACACGCGACAACTTACAAACGGT